ATAAACATGGGGGTACAGGTATCTTTTTCAATCAGTGTTTTTGTGTCTTTTGGGTAGATACCTAGGAGTGGGATTGCTGGGTTGTAGGGAAGCTCCATGTTTAGCGGTGTTCTTTAATGACAGACTATTGTTATAACTACTAGTGATACCATTAGTGTAGTGAAAATGCTAAAAAATTAACAGTGTGTGAGGCTATTTACTCCTGCACCAAAAGCCACTAAGTGATAAAGCTTTTTGATTTTTCATTTTGTTTTGTATTAGGCATTTCCTCTCTTTCTTTTCTTATCTGGCACTTCATTACCTGCCTGTAATTGCCCCAACCCTACATTCAGATTAGCTCAAAAAATAAAGCCTGATATTTGTATGGTACAAAAGTAAACAAGCTTTAAAGTTAAAAAAAAAAAAAAATCCCTGGTATTCTGACCATAGCTCTGCAGTGGAGGAAGCTGTTACCTAACCTCTGTGTCACAATTTCTTGATCTATAAATGATGATTAAATTATCATCAAGGTTGCTAAAAGGATTAAGGTTAAGTATATGAAACCCTGATTCCATATACATTTGAAAATTAGTACTAGGATTATCTTTCATTTAGAGAGATAGACAGAATTTGAATTTGAGTGAAATGGATTTTGCAATAGTCCATATTAGTGGGCAGTCTTGGCTTATTTTTGCCCATTTCTTATGCCAGCATAGCTCAGACTGTTCACTGATAAAGTAATATTCGGTAAGTATATAATAGTTTCCTTTCCCCAATTTTAAAGCGAAATTAGTATTTTATTAATACATAGCTATTTATAACTTTCATTTTCTTTGTTCTGACCCAAAAAGATGCCTCTGTTTTTTCATTCATAAGAGAAGTATGTGTTATTGTTGTTGTTTTAAAAGGGTAAATGGAATGCCAACCTTTTGTCAAGGAAATTATTATTTTCTCTAGAGGTAAAGGGATTTCCTTGGCAAAAGGTTGAGGTTACATTTAGTTTTGGAAACAGGCTGCTTCCTGGTTGTACAAAGTAAAACGTTTTTAAAAGAAACTTAAAAATGAATCAACATTGAGTTGCATTAAAATTATGCATAATGGTTTATGTAGAAATATTTCTGTGACTTTGTTTAAATCACTACAGCATAAAAAAAATGGCAAATTCTATGTGATATTAAGCTGAATTTAGAAAAGCATCCTTAGGTTTAAACTTTCTCTTATTACAACTTACATACAAACAGCCTTTTTTTATAAAGATATTTTTATTTATGCATACAGAACTGGGGTATAGGTGCAGGGGGTGAGAGAATTCACCAGAGACAGAGTGGGGAGCAGAACAGGCAGATTGACTAAAATACACTGCTGAGGGGAGCAGCAGGCGGGCCAGGAGAGGTCTGCCACGCCATGTGGGTCAGCTCCCTGGGTGGGAATCAGGGATCAGACTCTTGCCTTAGCAATTGCAGACAGCTTCATAGTGCTGCTCTTAACCCATTGTGCCACCAGGGAAGGCCCTGTACATAAACTCTTATACAATTTAAAGTAAACTTCTAAAACTGTAATATTACAATGAAGAACATTTCCTCTTGACATTCTAGAATTTGTAACTACAATTTAAATGACTTCTTTTGAAATCTGGTTTTCATTAGTCATATACAGTCTCTTGATAGAATGGTTCTTATTATATTTTTTATGTAATCTATATAGGTGCTTCTAAAGTTATTCACATGTAACATTTTTATATAAAATATAAGAATCTGAGATTATTTTAAAGCAAGCCTCAATATATAAAATAATAGCAGTGTATATGCATAGTTACAGTAATAACTTAGATGCTTAGGTTACTGGATATGATCTTCCAGTCAGAAAAAATAAAAAAAAAAAAGGGCACTTTACAAACCTAATATCCATAAGAATGCAAAAGTATTTCCCACACTTAATTTCCCTAATTTGGAGATGAATATTCTTTCTGTGTTTTAGGTAGTCTTTTGCAGATAATATGGTTATTTTGTCCCTTATTATTCCACGATTTAGTGTGTATTGGCTAAGCATTTTTTGAAATACTTATTTTACCTCCATTTACCTTAAGTATTGAGTTTCTGACATTCTGTAAAAGTCAGTTTGGGTTTGGGTGAGCCTGGTGGAGTCCTTGTTGACCGTTGTCAATCTTTAGCCCATACCTATGAGTCTATTCAGGCTTTTATTTCTTTATGATTGTACAGTGAAATTTGTGCTGATATTTATGATTTTAAAAGTCATGAACCTTAGTTAATGATAACAGTTGGTTACTTTATTAAAAAGTGAAGCTAGTTAACCTTACTGGTTTTGTCATTCATTTATAAGAGGTAACAAAATGTATCAGGAAATCATTAATTGCAAAAAGCTTATTCAGTAAGTTAGACATCCAATTGCTGGCAGCAATAGGCAGATATGTTAAAGCATGTAAAGGCTATTCTTAGTCACATGATGTCCAACGCCTTTTTCTCCAGCATTTTTAATACACATGATTATTTGTCAAAGGAATAAATAGTAGTAATTCAATAAACTATTTCATATAATGATATAAGAATTTCAAGTCAGTTATTTTAGACATAATAAGTCTCGTTATTTTCTTGTTTGGGGGAACACAAACTACCTAGTTTTCATATAACATGAAGTTTGTGTAAGTATTCTATGTGATATTAATGGAATATGATCCTACTTTTAGAGAAGGTTCATTTTTATTAATAATATATCCACTTTTTGAAATAGATTATTTCTATTATCTATTCAAAGATTTCACATGATAAGCCACCAAACACTAATTAGAGTCCTAGAAAAGTAAGTAAGGCCCTAATATGTTGTTGACCTAATTATCCAGAAGCAAATTATCTAAGTGCAGGCTTTGGGTGGAAGAGATGGGCGAGAGGGGAGCTAAGTGCATTTTAGGTTGGGTGTCGCTCTGTTGCTGACTCCTGGTGTGGTGTTTGTGAAGATATTTTTGTATTGAATTTTTTTTAATTTCTTTAATGTTTTTATAACAAATGCAGAATTAAGTCATGGGTTTAAACATTTATATTGAGACACTTGTCCCATATGATTACATCTATTCACCATCCTTTAAACAAATGTTAATAAAACAAAGCAAAAAGAACAGCTCTCCTGTTCAGAGTCTCAAATGCTCTCCCTTCCCACCCAGGAGCTCCAGCTTCAGTTCGAGGACCAGCAGGGCTGCTGTGATGACTGTGTCAGCCAGTATAGAGAATGTTCTGAATAGGGGAGGCTCCTGGATTAGATGGATCATAGATCCTCTCTGGCTCAGTGTCAGAGCCTGGAATCTAAAAGACTAAAGACAATATAAGTCCCTAGTGAGTAAATGTTTTTACTCCTACATATGTATATGTATGTGTATGTGTATATATATATGAGTGTGTGTGTATACACACAATAGACACATACACACATATAGTGCTAGGCTTTGGGGTACAGCTGGGAGCAGGATGTATAGAGAGATTACAGTGTAGGGGGAATGATAGGAAGAAAAGAACAAATCACTGTACAAATCACTGTACCTAAGTGTTAGGACAGGGCCAGTCAAATTGGAAGACAATAATCTGGTTTTTATTTGGAGAATGCCTCGAAAGAGGTAAGTTGAAGCAGAGGTGTGAAGGCAGAGAAGGAATTGGCCATTTAGAAGGTAGGGCCAGCAAGAGCAGCAGGCCCTGAAGAAGAAAGAGCTTGGGCAGTCTGAAAACTGGCAAGTAGGCGAGTCCAGTTTGGACCTTCTGAGGAACAGGAAGAGGTGCAAGTCAGGAGGAGCCGGGAGCCAGTGTGGAGCCACTGGGATTTCAGAGACCATGGAGTCAAGTTTGAGTTTCCTTCAACCCCCTGGGAGGTTTTAAGTAAGAGGATGATGGAATTTGATTGAAGTTTTAAAGCTCACACTGAGTTCTGTGTGGAGAGAGGGCTGGAGGGAGAAGAGGGCGGTTTATCTTGATTAGCACATCTACCAGTCTGGAGAGGTCCTGGGCCCCCCTCCAGGGCAGTCAGCTTGCCCCTCCCTACCAACCTAGGTGGGTTGTGGGTGGGGTGGCCCCAGGGGGCAAAAAAGGGAAGGCTCGCTGTTTCGCTGTTTCGGGACTGACTGACGGGAAGACCTCTGTATCGTTGTCCTGACCTGTCTCTCACTTCACTGCTGCTTGGTGCCAGTAGTGGGTGGACAGTGTTGTTTTTGCCCATTGGGGTCGGAGATAAGAAGAAACTGGCATTTTGCCCTGAATAACTGCCCTTCCAGTTATTCAGACTGAGACTAATTTCTGATATCTATGGAGTTCTTTTGGAAAAAAATAATTTGTTATCTGCCCTACTGAGTCAAATCAACAAATATCTATTTAAAGTCTTTTTTTTTTGTAAGTTATCATGTGAGCCCTTTTAAGACAGTAAAAAATCAGAATTTTATTCTTTGACCAAACTCTTCTTACAATAACAGCAATCCAAACATGAAACACGGAGATGGTAAATTAAGCCTCATGATAATCGTTAACATTCTATGTATATTACAGAAAAGGAAACAGGCACAGTGAAGCCAAGTAAATAGATCTCAACCAGGTTGCAAACCACACAGTCTGTCTGTAAAATCTGTGGTCTTCACTCTGTTAATGGCAGGAATGGACTCTTTCCACCCAGTTCTTTATTTCCTTTAAATTGCTAATTGAAACTCACTCACTATCCTAAGTCAGAAATTCTCTAGAGCTCCCTTGTAGTCAGGACTTGAGTGCTAAATGCTGACAGTGACTTTTTTTTTTTTTTAGTAATATAATAGTTTGCTTTTACATCATTTTGTGCCTTTTCCCATCTCAGTTGTAATCCCCTTGGGCTTCCCATCACCAAATCACCTGTGTGCCATCACCACAGTCCCATGCACTAACCCCCCTCCATTTTTGATCCCACCCCCCACTACTCCCCCATAAAATATCACTGGTATGTATTTGTTCATTATTATTATTATTTTTTCCCCTGGTCCTTTATACTCGACAGTGACTTTTTTTTTTTTTTTTTTTGGTTTGTGTCATAGGATTATTGGGACTTTACAGAACTCCCGAGAATTTTCAGAAGCCTTCCACTGCAACAAGAACTCATACATGAATCCAGAAAAGAAATGCCGGGTTTGGTGATACTGAGAAATGATGCTGCTCTCAATCCGACTTGTCAACACCACAGATGTGGGGAGCATTATCTGAGAGAAGGGGGTGTGGGGGCTTTGTGGTCACTGTCACTACCTGTGGTGGTTCAGAGATAAGAGCACCATAGTAAAAAAGTTCTGAAAAGGTGTGGACAAAGGAGGGAGTCTAATCTCTATCAAATCAGTCACTTCTCGCTGTGTAAATAATGCTCAATCTCTAAAGATAATACCATTCATTTCTGTTTCTCACATCTGCCTATTTGATGTCTCTTGACAACACTTGGCCAAGTGAGGTAGGCCGGGATTTCTAACCAAAGGGAGGAACGAGGGGTTGAAGAATACAGTTGGCACCAAAAAGAAAAGTGACGTGATAGTTAGAAACACTTTGCCTAAATATTTAGTTTTACCTTATTTTTTTTTTTTTTTTGCAACATTTATGCGCCTTCAAAACTCTTCCAAAGATTTCTTATACATACCGGGGCCTTGGAACTTAGGTAGTTTTAAAATCATTTTTGGCAATCATCGGTTATTCATTCTGAAATCACTTTATTTTAAGCACTCTTAGGGCTAAAATGAATGTCTAAAACTGTTTCTTGTTGTACCTGCTTTGACTGATATTGAAAATTCTTGAGGCTCCCTGCAATTTTTTAAGCAATTTTTGTTCTCTCTTTCTCTCTCTCTCTCTCTCTCTCTCTCTCTCTCTCTCTCAAAATTTGGTCTTTTTAAAAAAATTTGTAGTAATGTATAAATAACAATTTTTATATTTAATTATTAACTACATTTATGACTAAGTAATTGTTATTCTAGGTAATCATTGAATATTGAAGTTTCAGAATGACTGAGGTAAATAGTTATGAACCAAGATCTGTAAAGTGATGTACAGATGAAGATTTAAGATTTTTTAAAAACTTATAAATCATATTGATGAAAAGCTTGAAGCACAAACTTTGGATTAAACATTGCTGTCGGATGGCTATCTGAGACACTATAAGACTTATGGTTTACAAGCAGAATTTTCAAATTCAATCCATCCTTGAAGGTGGCTGTGATCACAGGGCAAAAATCCATCTATGTAGCTCTGCATCTCCTTATCTCTCCAGCTTTGTCATCTGATGGAAATATTTTGATAATAAATTGAAATTGTGAGTCCATTATTCACGAAGCCTGTTTTGCCAGTGTCTAATTTTGGAAAGAGCATCTCTGAATCTATATGAGAATTTCAGCACCTCCATGGACCCGCTGCTGTTGAAATGGTAACTCACATCGAATTCTGGGAGGGACTCCCATGGGTCTGATGGGAATTCATCTTTGGAGGTTAGTATGGTCTTCTCCTTCCCTGTCTTATTGACTACTTTAGTTCAATACTTGATTACTATTTTACAAAACAGGAGCACCACCCAAATCATTATTTTCCTAACAAAACATGAAAATGAGGGAGTTTCTATCTAGAAAAGGGGTTTTGGTTTTCTGTTGCTTGAAAGGAGATGTCCATTTTTTACCTTTAAAAAAATGTTACTGAAATACAACATGTACAAAAGCTGGAGAAAGTGTAAGGTACAGTCCAAGGGACATTTTCCAATTGATCCCACAGAACCAGGAAGAAATAGAAACTGATGAGTGCCTCCGAGCCCTGCCTCCTTACCCTCAGTCCACTCCTCCAAGCACAGCAACTCTCCTGACTTCTAGGATCATTGATGAGGAGTGCCCGTTTTTCTCTTTTACGTAAATAGAACCCATAAGTATGTATTCTTTTTTTAAAAATGTTTTATTTGTTTATTCATACAGAACTGGGGTGCAGGCCATAGGTGCAGGGGTGGTGAAAAACAGAATGGGGAGCAGAACAGGCAGATTGATGAAGTACTGAGGGGAGCAGCGAGCGGGTTAGGAGAGGTCTACTGTGCCATGTGAGTCACCTCTGGAGCTGGGGATCGAACTCACACTGAAGCGGCTGCGGCTTGCTTGCAGTGCTGCGTCCTAACCTGTTGGGCCACCAGGGAGGGCCCAGTATGTATTCTTAAGTGTGACTTCACTCATCATTGCACTGTGGGATTCACCTACATTGTTCCCTTTGATTGTAGCTTCATCCTTACTGCTGACTAATATTATGTTGTGCGGCCAGATGACAACTCATCAGTCCATTGTCACAGGCACCTGAGAAACCTTCCACTCGGGACTGTCACAAGTAGTGCATCTGAACATGTTTGCATATTGCCATCTTTTTTTACTTGGGGTTTTAATGGACTCCTTTCTCTATGTCCTTCAAAAAGTATTATATACATTGAAAATATAGATTCAACCTGAATATCCTTATCTTTTCCCCTTTTTATCACTACCACCATTTCCTGGATAATTCAAATTATACTTACTATAAACTTTCTTAAGATAAATATAACTCTATATCATATGATTAGGTGGAAGAACAGGAATGCCCACCTCTAAAGAGTACGACTATCTAAATTTCCATCTTGTCAGAGCACTTGAGGGACCCAGAAATGAGGAGTGACTAATACAAATTATAAAAAGGCACTAGATTCCAATACCAGCTCTTTAAAATATCAGGCTCTTATCTCTATGGAAGGAACTTGAGTGAAATTATACTGTGGGAGGTGGGAAATTTTCTGTAGTTCCTGGATCTCCTATCTCTAGAAATGGATTTTTCTGGAGCTGAAGGAGAGACCAAAGTCTGAAAAATGATAGCCCCCTTACCTGACACAGGAAGACATTACTAATTGTACATCACACTGCATTTAATTTGGATGGGGCCTGTGGTCTCACCTAAGACACAGTCATTTGGAGTGGTTCCCTCAGATAAAGTCTACATGTAGTCTCACACATAATTCCAGTTTCACCATGGTGGAATCCTAGTCAAGGAAAGCAGTTAGAAGCTGAGACAGTGAGGGTTGGGAGCCAGTTTGACTTAAGGATGAAGAGAGGAAGAAGTTCTAGCCACACCAGTAGTAAGGAATCAGCCTCCACGATGGATTCTAGGTGCACAGTAGAGAAAACACTATCTCGGGAGGAGTACTTTCTAGTCATATTTTGCCACTTGTGACTAGGAAACCACAGGCATTTAATATAGTCTCTTAAACCTCTGCTTCCCCCCGGCCCCACCAAAATCAAAGAGAACTGGATTCTATTGCCAATTACCAGCAAAAGGAAAGTATCTACTGCTGTTTTACTCTTGTCCCGAATTAAGAATCACTGGGTAATGTAATCTCAAACTCCCATGTAAGTGTCTGAGTCCAGTTAGAGCAAATTATAGTCCAAAGAACAAGGATCAAAGCTACATTGCATTTGGATCTGTGCTGCTGTTAAACAATTTTCTCAAATGCTTTTATCATGCCTGTTGCCACAGAGGGAGTTTTCCAAATAGAAGCTGTTATTGATAGAAATAAGACTCCACCCTCTCAAAGATAGGAAATCTTTTTTAACAGGTTCCAGTCTCTAAAACAGAAAATAAAAACAAACTTTTTTTTCGTATTATTGTATTTACACCTACTCAGCTTTGTCCCATCCTTTCCTACCCACATGAAAAACCCCATGTTGTTTATGTCTTAGAAAATGTTAAGGCAAAATCTCCACAATATTATACTTCCTGCTGGTCTCAAAGTGAATTTTTTAAAAATGAATGATAAAAATGTTATCAATATTTTCTTGCCTTTGTCATCCCATCAACCCATCCAAACTAGTTTTCTTATCTCACTTGTTTTCAAAAGTTAAGTAAAACAGTTGCCAAATGCTGTAGTCACAGTCGCAATAAGGAGACAAAAGTCATGACTTGTCCCTGAACTGAAGTTCTTGACTTCTGGTCAGTAGGTGGAAAGAGGCACAGTGGGTTAAAGCTAACTGCAGCAGCTTCATCACAAGTTCAATCCCCAACCAAGGAGCTGACCCACATGGCATAGCAGACCTCTCCTGATCTGCCTGCTGCTCCACTCAGCAGTCTACTTCGTCGACCTGCCTGCTCTGCTCCTCCTGTCTCTGGTAAATCCTCTCACTGCCCCTGTGCCTCTGGGCTGTACCCCAGTTCTGTATGCATAAATAAATAAATCTTTTTTAAAAAATAGGTAGAAAGAGAGAGCATGGGGGGGCTGGGTTCAAAGTGACTCATGTTTATTACATTTTAATCTTTAACAATATTTTCTCAATTTCACTCTTTTATATCTTGCAGTTCCTCTAAAACAATGAAATTCATTACTAACATTTTCACCCTCACAGCCCTCTACTGTGCTTCAATTTTGTTGTTTGACAAAACAGAGCATCTAGATTGTAGGAGAGAAAACTGGCAGGTAAATGAGCATTGACTCTTGCCAGAAATAACGATGAGCTCTCAACTTGGATTAGAATAAAAGGACAGTGTAGCCATTGTACCCAATTTTTATATTTCTAGATTTCCTTTCTACACAGAAACAATTTTTTTCAAGTATCTGGCGTATTAATCTGATTCCACTCCTTTAAATGAACTTGCTGTAAAGAACTTGATGTACTTTAACATCTCCAGTTAAAGTATATCTTAATGGGCCCTCCCTGGTGGCGCAGTGGGTTAAAGCGCAGCACTGAGAATCTGAAGCCACTTCCGCATGAGTTCGATTCCCGCCTGCCGCCTGCCCCGGAGGAGACCACATGGCGAGCCAGACCTCTCCTGGCCTGCCCGCTGCTTCCCTCAGCAGTGTACTTCGTCAATCTGCCTGTTCTGCTCCCCACTCTGTCTCTGGTGAAGCCTCTCACCGCCCCTGAGCCTCTGGCCTGTACCCCAGTTCTGTATGAATAAATAAATAAATCTAAAAAAAAAAAAAAAAGTATATCTTAAAAGTTTAAGAAGACAAAAACTGGGGTCAAATACCTGGATTATTGATTCCTTTGGTGTAAATCCTTCAACACACTTTCTATCAATGCTCTATGTTCCCTGAAATACAGCATTTGTGTCTAGAATGCTAAGATGTTCATGGCAGCGTGATAAGATCAAAGAGAATCAAAGACTGACTAACAGAAAATGTTTCATTTTATCCAAAGAAAATATGAAAATGGTACAACGCTTGATAGGCATTATATTTTCAACTATGTTAAAATATTATTGCCTAAAGAGGAAGTGTAAGGGCAGAAGAAATGCTGCAAATGTTGGTATTGATGGGGGTGAGATCAGAGGTCGGGTGACCTCTGAGAAAGGTTTTGGCCGAATCTCCCACTTATTGGCACCTGGAGCGATTATTTAGGGAAAAGATGTTTGTATCCACAAAAGCAGGCAAAGGCTGCATCTTAGAAGGACAGGTTTTTTAGGAAAAAGGAGAAAGAAAAAGGCACCTGCATAGCCACAGGTAAGCAGAGAGCTGCATTATGTCAGCACAGAGTTGTTCTGTAGTCTTGTGGGGAGGGAGGCTCATGCCATTGTAGAGTGTGCACTGTTAGGAAGTCTCCCTTCTAGGGTATGATTGGGCTCAGCTGCAAGTACTGGTGTTTCCATGTATGACTGACAATTCCCATATTCCCCTCTCCAAACTTGCCTAAGGATTTCTTAAAGCCATTTTAAAAACTTGGCAATCATTTCTACTCCTGCCTCTAGTTTCTGTCATGATGTTTCCACCTGAAATTTTGTGTTCTAAGCTTCCATCAGTGTTACAGGTGGTCCTTATTTCCTTATTGTCTATACATTTAGAAATATTGTAATGCAGACATATTATACTTTAATGTAATTAGTCATTGTAAAATGTAAT